TTCCTTTCCTTTCCTTTCCTTTCCTTTCCTTTCCTTTCCTTTCCTTCCTCTCTTTCCCTCCCTTTCCCTCCCCCTTCCTTCCTCAGAGGGAGGAAGAGGACTCACCCGTCGACTGCCAGTGCCACCGAGCCTGCCCTACCTCGCCAGCAGGCACCTAAGTCGCTCACTCATCCTTCTCTCAATGCCCACAGCTTTTAAGAGATTTCAAATTTTGGCCTCATTTCAAAAGCAGCCAATCGCCACTCACCTGTTGGGCCTTGCTACCAGCTGTCTGAGTGAAGGGGACAGAGGGAGGTGCAAAAGATGTCAGGGATAAACCCATGACAATCATGTGACCTGGGTTGACCACGGCGGTGCAGGGGCACGGTAGTGCTGAAGCAGCCACAAATTCCCCAAATTTCAATCCCATGGGAGTAATGAATCCTGGATTTTGGATGCATTCTGTAAGTCAGCCCATTTAAGGTACCTTGGTTCCAAAATTGTTGCCCTATGATGCACTGTTTTACCCAGTTGAAGGCTATAAACACCAGTTTTAGTAGTATATAGATTAGAATTTAGATTAAGAGATTCTCAGTTTACAGGTAGTCCTCGCTTAAAACCAGAAAATTAGTTGTTAAATGGAGCAGTCATTAAGTGAGTCAGCACATGATCTCACCCAATTTTACTACCATTTTTACAATGGTGATTAAGCAAATCACTGTGGGCGTTAAGTGAATCACGAGGTTGTTAAGCAAATCACATGGTCGTTAAACTAATCCAGCTTCCCCGATGGACGTTTTTTGCCAGAATTTGCTCAATGACCACTTGATTCACTTAACAGCTGAGGTGATTCACTTAATGACCATCATAAAAAAGGTCGCAAATTGCAATCATGTGACCTCGGGGTGGAGCGACGGTTTGTGACAGTCGTAAGTGCAAGTACAGATTGTAAAGCACTTTTTCTGAGGCCATCATAGTTTTGAACCATTGTTAAATGAATGGTCGTTAAGAGAGGACTACCTATAATTGGTTATCAGTCTGTTCATGGTTACCATGATATATAATCCCTCCCTAGAAGATAAGTCATTTATTTGTTTGTTTGTTTGTTTATTTTAGTCAATTTCTATAGCCACCCATCTCAGACAAATTATTCTGGGCGAACAATCATAAAAACAGTTAAAACCAATACAAATATTATATCTATTTATCTGTCTCAACCAAGAAAATTATAATCACAAGACCACTAGCAGAACTTCAGTCCTTTTTGTTTTTAGGAAGATAATTACTATATTGTGCTTAAACATGTTTATGAAAGTATTATTAGAAGTCCAGTACTGTTCTAGAAATAAAACTTTATTTTGTTTTTTGTAAATCTCAAGGTACTATCTTTGGGGCTATGAATATTAAGATGGACCTGGTCATTCTGACCAGTTTTATTTACAGTTTTTACTTTCAGATACAACACCCTTTCATTTACGTGAAGACTTCTATCAGATCTCCTTTTAATCTTTTCATCTCAAGACTAAACATGTCCAGTTGTTTCCATTTCTCTTTGTAGGACTTACAGTAGTTTTTAGTTATCTGATCATCCTCACTATCCTTCTCATAACCTGCTCCATTTTTTGCTGAATGCTTTGTAAAGTGTGGTGCCCCAAACTGGACATAGTGGTCAAGGTAGAATGTAACAAAAGTGTGTAAAGTAGGATGATTATACCTGAGACTTTGAAACTGTATTTTGGTTGATACAGTCTAAAATTACATTTGCCTTTTTTGCAGTCACATAATACTGCTCGCTCATATTTAGTTTGTAGCGAAGTTCATATTTTGCTGTAGTCTACTTATATTGCTGTAGTTTGTTGAAAGATTAAAACAAAGAACTTGAAAAATACATTTACTTGGACATACAGCCTGATGTCTTCAAGAGAACTAGCTCATCCAGTTAATGGTCCTCTTTTTTTGTCAGATTTAAGTATGGTAAATTTCGATTATATGAAAAACAACAATGCAGACTGAGAGACAAAATGTCCCCTTTTCAGTGCATTTGGTATATTGTATCTATTAGTGATCTAGTAGAAGTGATTGGATTCATCTCTAGTTTTACTTTTCCAGTTATTCAGCTTTTTCCCAGGATCTGGAAATCTGCTGTTGCCCTAGCGGAAGATAATTTTGTTACCAAATGCCAGAAGCTTTGTAAATCAAATGTGATCATTTCTCACTCCTTGCCCCCTTAAGGAGCAAGGCTTTTCATACATCTACTAAACCTTCCTTTAGAAAATGGTGTACCACGCTTGGACTTTTGTTGGTACCTGATTAAGAACGTTTACATTTGGTTCTAAAATATATAGTCCTACAGGGAAAAGGTGCTTCTTTAGAATGATTGGGCCCTTGCTTTCCATTTAAAATATTAAAATCAGGCCAGGAGAACAGGATATAGTAGACATTCCAGAGAGAGCTCCTCTATTATAAATCTATCAGTGGTTTATGAGCCGTAAAGTTTGCATTGTGAAAAGGGAATTAGGATTCCTGCAATTTCCAGCTCATGATGCAAAATCCATCTTTATGTAAAGAAAGAAACCTGCCAAAAATACTTCAGGCTTTAAAATAGCAGCTCTTCAAGTGTTTTAATAAATGGTCCAGCAGTTTTAATTGTTTGCCTTGTCCTAACAAGTGTCTTACTTGCCCAGAGGGTGGGTGCTGGTTGTTGCCAACGGAAATATGAAATAGGTGGTTGGTTTCTTATCTCTCTCGCATGTTAGTAGCACAGCCCACTCCTGCCCTGGGGAGACCCCACTGTCCACTTTCACTTTTCGCTCTTCCCAACTTTAACTGACAAACCTTGTCAATTGCAAAGGGAAGGAATGTTAACAAGGTCCACAGCTGCAGCCTATCTTTCCACTTTGATCTTAGCAGTTAAGATCAATTAGCAGTTAAGATCAATTGACCTTAGTTAAGGTCAATTCTGGGGTATGCTTTCTTTCTTGTGTCTCACTTCTATGCAAGCGCTGATACTGGTTAAATTGGTTGAATGTTGGTACGAACTGACCATTGCATTGTTCCATCATAGCACCTGTGCATGGTCCTCCTTTCAGCAAAAAGTCCATGTAAGGTTTCCAGTCTTTCAGAAGAGTTTTTGTTGTTTTTTTCTCTGACCAAACAGGTCAGCTTTGCCATCTCAAGATATTCTGACATTCCATTCCTCTACTGTGGGAATTTCATTGTTCTTCCATTGTTGAACATACAATAATCTTGCTGCAGTTACCATATACAAAATCAGTCTGCCATGAGTTTTTTCTAATGCATTATCCATAAGTCCCAATAAAAAAAAGTTCTGGTTTCTTCACAATATTTATCTTTAAAATCCTTTGCATCATCATATGAATTTGTATGCAAAATTTCTCAGCTTTCTCACAAGTCCACCATGCATGATAAAATGTCCCCTCATGTTTTTCACATTTCTAGCACTGGTTTGAAATATTTTAGTACATTTTTGATAATTTCTCTGATGTCATATGCCAATGATACATCATTTTATAAAAGTTTTCTCTTAAGTTATGACACATGGTGAATTTAATACCAGTTACCCACATTCTCTCTCAAGTATCCATCTGTACATTATATCCAAAATTAATAGCCCATTTTGTCATGCAGTCTTTAACTTCTTCTTCTTCTGTTTCAAATCTTAACGGAAGCTGAAAATTTTTTTCTATTACATGTTCATCATTTGTACGTAATTCAGTTTCAAATTCTGGTTTGTGTTTTTCAATTCCAGTTATTTTTTTATCCATATTAAGCCTTTATTTCAATTAAGCATATGAAAACCATTGACAACTATGTCCTTCTGCAGTCAGTCGTTCTCTTGACTTCATTGAAAAATAAAAACAATCTAAAAGAAACTTAATGTGTCTCTTTTTCTGCAGGTTTGACATGGGAAAAAGCACTAAGGCAGATTGGATTTGAAAGGTGAGAACCTTGTGTATATGTCTTCCTAAGAAGGAAACTTAATTTCACAACTCAGATTGATTTTTAATGCCATATTATATATTTTGCTATTCAAATAATATTGACATGTAAGTTGAATAAATTTAAATTTTAAAAATGACATAGCTCAACCATAGCTCAAATTTAGTTAATATTGTTGCATTAAAAGCAGTACCTTGAATTTTTCCCAGAAAGCTCTATAATACTAGGACAGATATAGGATTACTAGCATAATGTAAAGGATACAATTTTGTAAGCCACGTATATATTTGAAAACATCTCCAAGGGCAAATCAAGGAACTATAAATAGTAGAAATTATTTTCTTATAATCCTAGAGGAGTGATTACAGTTTATCATTATGTAATTGGGGACAAGTATCTCTAACTTAAGAAATATCTATGGCCTAGAAATAATGTGAGGATAGAGACCAAATGCTGGATTTTAATATTATTAGTAAAACAAAAGGAAGTATTCTCAGAAGAATTTTTACAAAATAAAATAGAGCTCTATTTTATGCAGCTTTATTAGAAGTAAATCCCACTTTGTGTAATGAGTCTTACTTGCAACTAAGCATGTTAACATTTCAGCTTTAATGTATCTTTTACTTCATTTTGAGCACCTTAAGATTAATTTGATTTTCTTTAGCCACTTACATCTGTCACTAAATGTCCTGATTGTATCATGCTATCCTTTGAAAAGTGATATTTACACTTGTATGTGCTTTATTTAGATGACCCAACTCTTTCTTTCTTAATTACCATGAAAACAATTCTGTAAATATTGTAAACCTAGGGAGTGTTGCTAGGATTTGACCTTTAAGGATCAGTGCAAATTCAAAATGCAAAATTAAGACTGATATGGTCAAGTAAATGGCATGGCAGAACAGAAATAGCAGAATGCGAATGTGTTGAAACTAGAGCTTTTTTCTTCAAAATGCAGGCAAAAGTCAAATAGATAAAACAAATAAATTCTTAAAAAGAAGTAGGTAAACTCAAATATGTGTTACCTTGTGCTGTGGAATTTGTTCACCTACAGTAGTGGGATGTGTATTGATTAAAGGGTTGTGTATATCATGACAGTATATTTTGAAAAGGCTGTGGTCTGCAAAAAAAAAAAAAAGCTTACTGTAGGAATGAATTACTTTCCATTTCAGCAGACTTGCATGATAGTCCAAGCTGCTTACGGAGAGCCAGAATATATTATCTTGCAAAGGAGAACTCATTCATATCCAGAATTCAATAATTCAGACCTTTTTGTGAATGTTTTAAAAAATAGCAACAGGGGAAGGGAATTTTATTATAAGCCTCTAAATTTGCTCTCAAAGTTGGTTGGTCCTCTGAGACTTTTACTTCTTGCTGTATTTGCTATTGCTACCCTCCACTGATTTACTCCTGTTCCTGCTCCTATAAATAGCATTATTCCCTAAGTACTGACACATTTAATTTAATTTAATATGTATATTCTGGATTTCTTTTTTTAAAAGGAAGCCTTTGTAGCAAGAGCACCAAGGATTAATCTTTGCTAGTATATGTGTTTAGATATCTGGAAATAGCTTGATAGCATGGGATATGATATAGAAAGCTGTTCCTGAAATAACATAAACACTGAATAAAGCAATGTAACAGTAATGCTTTATGCAACATTAAGGTCTAGATCAAGTCTGAAGATATTTCAGCCTGATTCATAAGGAGCTTATATAATCTAAATCTTGGATTTATGAAACACCCTTGAATTACATGTAATTATAAAATAACATGGGGAGAAGGGAATGTGATCCAGTAGATAGTACCTGCTGGCCATTGTATCCAGAAGAAACTGTACTTGACATATAAGAAGCTTTTAATAAAGTCCTTCATCTTTCCCTGTTAGATTTCTTTCTTTATTTCCCCAGGAGGGCATATAAAATAATGATATAATGGCACTACATGATTGCTTAAATTAGGTGATGTAATGATGGGAAAGAAATAATTGGTGATTATTAGAAGTAGGGATATGGGGAGAAAGAGCACAACTCCATGTTCATTGCTCTTCCTTTAATATACAAAACAGAAGAGAGAGAGAGAGAGAGAGAAAGAAGATAAAAGAGGACAAAACATAAGGATAAACAAATGAAAAAATATTACAGAGAATTCAGCCAACAAATTATCAAACATTGATCACATGAAATAATATTAATTGGTCCTTATATTTATATTAATAAAGAACCAGCTTGTAAACAGAAACCAAACATACAGGTAGTCCTCTCTTACCAACTACTTGTTCAGTGACCAAAGTTGCACCAGTGCTGAATCATTGGTACTTATGACCAATCTTCGAAGTTCCAGCCATCACACCAACCCCATGGACACGTGACCACAATTTGGGTGTTTGGCAACTAGCTCACACTTACAATGGTTGCAGTGTCCCACAGTCCCATGATCACCATTTGCAACTTTCCCTGCTGGCTTCCCACAAGCAAAGTCAACAGAGAATCCGGCAGGGAAGGTCGCAAGTTGCTCTGGAAAGTCCCTCCCAGCCTCCCTGCACTCGTGCGGCACCATGCCCTGTTTATCTCAGCCTCCTTGCGCTCATATCAGGCCATGGTCTCCTTTCCTCAGTCTCCCTGCATTCATGCCAAGCTGTTGGCCTGCTTGACCCAGCCTCCCTGCACTCATGCTGACCCCCAGCCTCCCCCCGGCCTCCCCCCGGCCTCCCTGCACTCATACCAAGCTGCAGCTTCCTTCCCTGGCCTCCCTGTGCTTACACGTGGCCTGCATCAGGCCTCCCAGGGCCCCCCCACACCCTGCAGTACTCCCCATGGCACTCCCATGCTTCTTACCTGGGACTCCCACTCTTCCCCCTTTATGACCCATGCATCTTGGGATTACAGTGGCAACTGGGACTGCTGGGATTGTTGTCACTAAATGATGCAGTCACATGACATCATGCTTTATGACCACATCACTTAGCGACAGCAATCCTGGTCCCAAATGCTGTCGTAACCCGAGGACTACCTGTATATATGTAATGCAAGATTGTAAAATTGGGGTAACTGTCTTTCCAATGCTGAAGAGGAATCTTTACTGTCCCCTGTATTTGATAAATCCAGTTATTGATACAGGGATATGGTATATAATTTTTGATATGTAATTAATTTTTTAAACATTTTAGGTATATAGTTCAAAAGTATATTAACATTCTTAAACTGTAATGATTTTTGTATCACCATGCAAAGGATCTTACAAATGTCAAACCAAAATGGAATATTAATAAAACAAGGCCTTATTATTAGAGGAAATATCTCCTCATCTATTATATACTTCCCACCTAATGAAATTAATAAGTAGTCCTTTAGAACAGCGGTCCCCAACCCTTTTAACACCAGGGACCGGTTTTGTGGAAGACAATTTTTCCACAGACGGGGGGGGGGGGATGGTTTCGGGATGATTCAAGCACATTACATTTATTGTGCACTTTATTTCTATTATTATTTCCATTATTATTATTATTATTAGCACATTACATTTATTGTGCACTTTATTTCTATTATTATTTCCATTATTATTATTATTATTAGCACATTACATTTATTGTGCACTTTATTTCTATTATTATTTCCATTATTATTATTATTATTAGCACATTACATTTATTGTGCACTTTATTTCTATTATTATTTCCATTATTATTATTATTATTAGCACATTACATTTATTGTGCACTTTATTTCTATTATTATTTCCATTATTATTATTATTATTTCTATCATTTTTATTTTTATTATTATTATTTCTATTATTAAAGAATCTTTGTGATTGATTCACTGATATAGGATATTCCAACTCCTTATTTTAGAGTTCTTGTAAATTTATTTATTTATTTATTTAAATGATTGATATGGCTGCCCATCTCATGACAATGACTCTGGGTGGCATACAAGGTTAAAACAACAATCCAAACCACAACCTCTGAGTTCAAAACAATAATTCCAATTTATTTCTTAAAAAGTAGCATTAACTATCAGAGCTCACCTAACCTCCTGACCCAAATGCCTGGGAGAACACCCAGGTCTTTAATGCCTTACCAAAGGCTAACAGAATTGGGCCCATCTGGATCTCTCGAGAAATGCTGTTCCACAGGGCAGGTGCTGCAATAGAGAAGTCACAACTCTTGGGTCCAACAAGATGACATTATTGAATCAAAGGGATCTGGAGCATGCCCTCCCTCTAGATCTGATTTTGTATGTTAGGCAATCCATATTAGGTAATTGAAACCCCATTCCTTTTACACATACAAAGGGACAGGGGTTCAACTGGGTGGTTGTGACTACCATCTTGACTTTTTGACACATCCCCCACCCCCCTGTGACTGCTCCTGCCTGCAATGACTCAAAAACCTGAAGACTTGATTGTCAGTAAATTGGTACAAAGTATTAATATCCACAATTACATGTCTATTTTTAGAAGTCAACAATTGTAGTTTTTCCTGTGAATTGATATTGTTTGTTACTAAATTTTTAAACTCTGTTATATTGTGCTGAACATTTCTTTCAAAATGGAAATGTTAATAGAAATGTAAAGACTGTGATAGTTTCTTAGCCAACATTTACAGTGCAGAAAATGTGTTGCTACATTCCTCTAAGGACTGGATTGATGCTCACTGTTTACATTGTAACTTTGCAAAATACAGAATATTATCACGCTGTAAGAAAATCATCCAGATATCTCCTAGTGGAGATGAATACATCAAATAAAAGATTAAGGGGTGGTAATTTGGGCCTAAAACACATAATTTTTGCAGAAGCAGAGGTTCTTTATTAGCCTTTTCCCCCTGATACGAGAATATAATATTTCTGATATTATATGATAGTTAGTAGTCCTGGGCAAGATGTATATGTTCATTAACCTTAACTATATCAGTTTATGCTTGCCTCAATCTCATATAACTTGTGAAAACTAGTTGTGTCGTTCATACTTTAAAGGAATTATACCTTTATAAGAAA